ATACACATGCAGACCTAAAGGAGACATTCAAACTTCACCTTCCTTTCACCCTACATGAGCAATACCCACCTTCCATACTTTGGCTAGCTGCTAGTCACTTGGCATCAGGTTGTTCGTAACACATGAAAACCAGCATTTTTACAGGACGTAACACTCACCAAAAGAAGACAAAAAGATAGCAATGCAGTGCCTGTTCAAGCTGTCCAAGTGTCTGTTGTATATAATTGTAAAATGTGATAGACTTACTTTCATATGTGACAGGGGGGAGGAAAAAAAAACGGCATCACACAGAACAGAATGTGGCAAACTCATCCGGAAATATGCTCTTTATTATCTTTGGTATTTTTTTTGTGATTTATTAATTTGTAATTATGTCAGCACACAATACCCACATCAAGCTTGTTCTAAATTTGAGAGAGGAAAGGTTTGAGGTTCATTCTTATTTTTCTTTTGCTCGGGGAAGGGGTGGGGGGTGGGGGTTTCAGTGCTACATTTTAAGCGCAGTGAACTGATGAAATGTCTTTTCTTAAAACTACGTCACCAGTTTTCTCTGCAGGGCTGATTTTGTTTTGTTTTTTTCTCTTTTCCTTTTTTCGGGTCTTGTGGCACTTTTACTTCCCTCTGCGCACACATGTCTACTTTATGAATCGTGTTGGAATGACTATATAGCGAACAACAACAACAACACCAACAAAACAATATGTAAACAGTCTCCAGTAGTGATTGTAGTTACACTGCAAGTGTGTGCAAAAGGTCTATGTATGTATCTGAATGTACGTTTTAGAGGAATTTTGCAAACCTTTTCTGTTGTTTTTTTTATCTTTTCATTTACAGTTTAGGAGTCACAGGTGTCCATTGTGAACTGTATAGCGAAGGCCTTGATATCCCTTCTTTTTATTGATTTTTAGAAACGCCGAGCATTTGGCGACGCCTTCAAGCTGGTTACATTTGGTGCAGGGGCTAAAATTGCCACAAGATTAAAATCAGTGTAAATAAAGGCTCAACTTTTTTTGTGATTGTTACTGTTATATCCAGCCTATACTGCTAGCAGCTGTTTTTCTGCAGTCAATTACTGGAAGTGGATATATTTCCTATGCAAAACTGTTTAAACAATAAAATGAGCTATGCTACAAAAAAGGACTTTTATATGCGGCTCGTTCTTGTGTTGATTTCTTTCTTATGTATGACCTCCTGTTTACAGTCTGATTTCAGATTAAATCTGTTTGTTAACTGATGCTCAGGGAAAAATACACATCTGATTGGTTTTTGTAGTGAAGCCCATGGACTGGAAATTGAAGGTAAACAAAAATAGCAATAGTTGCTATCATAATTATCAGGTGGGTGGAAGGAGGAGGAGGAAGGGTTTTTATATTTTTTCTTTTCATTGAAGGGAGAAGTGCTTGAATATTTTAGGGGTTTGGAGCAGGAGAAGGTCTTTTCCCACAGTTTATCTATAGTGGGATGCAGAGATTACATCACAAATATGGAAGCTGAGACACATGACTATACAAATCAAGCATCATGCAATTGCTTTGTCACACAGTCACTAATCAGGCTTTAAGATCATCTGAAATAACTTAGATATATGTTTTTTAAAGTGGAGTGGATGGGTGGGGGGTACACACTGCAGTGCTCAATGGTTACAGAACTGCCACTTGTGCTTGTTCATTGCATGGACATTTATTTAGCAGCTTTTTATTTAAAAAATGGAAAGAATGGAAATGGATACTTAATATTTGTTACATTTGCTCGTGGGACATCATTTTGACACTTTAATTTTTATATGTAGCTCAAAGCAGGGGCCTCCTTGTCCTTTACAGCCTTCTCTACAATTCATGAATACTCAGAGAACCTAATAATGAAATAACAAAACTGTACAGTGTATGATTTTTTTATTATTGATATAAATACAAAGAATTCATGTATTACATTAACAGCACAGGTAAAGCATAGTATTGGAACATACAGAATAGAGAGATAGGATCAAACACAGAAATAAGAGTAGGGGTACATGTGTTTGAATAGATTTTTACCTGTTTTGGTTGTCTAATAGATTTATAGACCAGGAAAAGCAATCTAGGTTTTAAGATAAATTAATGTAAATTGATTAAGAAAAGGTCTGATTTAGGATTAAAAGACTTTACATATGGAATAATAAAGTTGGTGGGGATATTGAAGGACTTGTGGAACAGCGGAGTAGAATAGGATGCGCCTTCAGGCTGGTGCCTCGGGGGCACCTGTCAGGTCACGGTCAGGGTGAAGAAAACTCAGGAGTCACTGTCACGTGTCTTCGCTGAAAAGCAACATGGCGTCTTTCAGATTCAAACGAAGTCAGTGGCGGTGAATGTGAGACTTTCTGGGAGAAGTAGACAGAATGTTAACGTTTGTGTTGAAGTCAAACACAAGATACATGGTCTGGTTTAAAGGGACGAAAACAGCAGCGAAGAAAAAGTCCGAACTCCAGCCTCAAATGGGAGAAGTTAGCAGTCTTCGATGGCGGTGATGCTATGGAGGCTAATTTTGTGGTGAGTTAACCTCATTCAGAATGTGGACACAATAATAAACTGTATTTAAAGATGTGACAGGGACCAAACTAAAAAGTACACACATATAAAATCGTGTGTACTATATGTATGTATTATATAGCACTTATCTAAACGAGTTAACAAGAGATGAGAAGGATTAAAAGGAATTAAAACCACACAGTAGCAACAGAGTTACAAATTACATGTTAAAAATGCTTTCATGTAAAAATAAGCTTTGAGCAGTGATTTAAAGACCGGTAGTTCATCAGGCACGAGGTCCAGAGCCTCGGGGCCCTGAGGGAGCAAGCCTGGTCACCCTGAGTAGCCAGACTCGACAGCTAACAAGGACAGGCTGGCCGATCTCAGGTTGCGAGCTAGCTCAAGAGCTACTGAAGATTGACCAAGGCATGTATAAAGTGCATTGCAATAGATCAGATAGCAAAAGACAAAAGCATATACATGTCCAAGTGTTCATTTTTTCTGGTGATTTTGTTTTAATTAGTTAATTGATACTATTGAAGCGTTATGATTGACAGCTCAGACTGACTCCTGATTGGTCGAGCATGATAGATAGGACATCACTACCGGGGCTTCATCCCCCAATCGCTATAGTGCAGACTCTGGCTCCCAATGTGCAAAGTAGCAGCGTTTGTATCAGCGGTATTTTGGCCTCATGACTGGGTAGTGGGAGGAAGTGGAGCTGTGTCGTCCATCTTTATATACAGTCTATGGAAGGAAAATGAAAAAACACACATGTAACCAACACTGACCATCCAGTAAAGTATTTTCACTGCTGAGACTGAAATGATGGATGAATTACTGTGTTTGAAAACCATACATGACACTGCCAAAGGATTTGTTTGAGTTTAAGTTACTTTTGCCAAAACCATAAATATATTTATTTATATAAAGATAGATGATGCGTCTCCACTTACTCTTCCTCTCACAATCAAGAAATGAAGCCAAAACTCCCCGATGGCCGTGATTTGAGGATCACAGGGTGGAGCTGCGGTATCGAGGTCCTTGTGATTCATGCGCTTGACCAATCGTGAGTCAGTCTCAGCTGTCACTCATGACCTTTCCACCGGTTTTTATATCAGTAAGAAATTAAACTTACTGGAAATGAACACTTGAACATATATAGGTGTGAAAAGAACTACCTTAATGTCAGAAATCATCATTGAGAGCATGTAACTTTGCTTTTTAGTTTGGTCGTTGTCCCTCCATTAACATGAAGTCATGTCTTCTCTGTCTATGTTCAGTCTACCGTCACAAGTTGTCCTTCTGAATGAGTTAAATTTATCTTTATATAAAACCAGCTGAGTGCATCATCATCAACTCTCCCATCAGACGTCAGCTCGTCGCCAAAGAGAAGCGGTTCCAGCCATCCCATTAGAGGTTAGTGTGATATATGTGTTCAGTAATTTAGTATGGTCTGCAAAGGATGTTATAAAAATTAAAATGGCCCTTGATAATAAAAAGGGTTCCCACCCCTGATGTAAAGCGAGGGTCCACAGAAGATTTTAATAAATTAAGAGGGGGGTATTGCTTTTTCTTTTTTCTGAAATAATAAAAGTCAGAACTTTTTTCCCCATAAATTTCAGTCAGTACCTTAGACTCTTGAGGACATCAAGTATTACGATACAAAGCAACTGCTGCAACATCCACAATCACCTCGCTCAGGAGAGTCTCTGAAACCAGGCTGGAAGAGGAAAACAAAGTTAGCGACTGCTGAAGGGGTGGAATGAGGACAACGTCAGATCAGAGCAGAGGAAACTATTTGACTCTAATCATTTAACTAATTGGATTTCGTTGATTCTCGCATGTGTGTCTGTAACAGTTGTCCCTGAAAGCAAACATTAGTTTTCTTGTCCTGGAACGATCCCATGACCCCACATACCAATGCTCCATCGTGGTAATACTCCAGCTAATCTACTGTAATACCCCAATCCCAGAGGAATAGTCGACAGTGTTTGGACCACAGCAGAATCAGTCTGCTGGGACCAAGCAGGGTCATGCAAGGTAACATCCATCTGGGCCACTGTGTCAAGTACATGAAGCTCTGATCTAGTAAAGCCTTTCTAATGGGATTGAGGACATTGGAAGAGGCAAAAGTCAGGCATAGGCGCCAATTAAGTCTTATAATGGACCTGTGTGATGGGCTCAGAGCTCAGCTGGACATGTGATGACAACAACAGGCCACGTCAGTGGTGCGCACGAGGCCAGGTGCCCTGTCCGCAGCAGGGGTACCATCCACATGGCTGGTTGAGGCACTGCATGCTGCACTGAAAAGCCCACCTGGCCTCAGGCACAAACCAGAGTTCATTTGGCTATCATTAAAGCAGACCAACAATGTGGCATGCTGATATAAAATTACCTATCTATAATGGTAATCATTATGCCATTTATCAAAATTGGCCAGTTGAGTCAACATCTGGCTTCAATGGGGGGCTCTAGTCGTTGAGGGTCTTGGCAGCGTCTTGCACCCTACATATTTTCCACTCTCTTTTATCAAGGCCTGCTGTCAGTGATTTGACGAAGCTAAATAGATGATGATTTGGCCCTATTATGTTTCGCAGGGCTCAAGCAAAGGGGATTTGTTGATTGCCTTTGTGTTTTTTTTCCCCTTTTTTTCTCTTTTTTTCTCCTTATGGATCCAGGAGAGGTAACGGTGCCCTGACTGTGCACCAGAGAGAGGATGGAGAGGAGGGGGGCACAGCGAGTGCAGAGGCTGGACTGGGCCGCTGGACACGAGCCAATGCGGGCACAAAGACCTCTGTCACATCCTCCGAGTTTTATGGCAGGAGTATAATATTCATCTTGTATGCAATTGGAATCAAGGTAATGAATTAATCTGATTCTTTCACCTTTTGGCATCAAAGTATGAGTGTGATGCACTTAATCAAGCAGGGAGTCATTAAGGCAGAATTTGTGCAGGTATTTCATTGGTTTATGACCAAGGGGAAGATTTATATCGACAGTGTTTGGTGCTCGAGACAATGATCATGATTCCGATACAAAGCTCTTTTTTGAAATCGATAAAATCTCACAAGGGCAAACTTTCCAGTCGCTACGTCCTCTTTTAAAGCAATAGTTGTGCAATTTGGTTATAACATGCATTTGATCTCTTTCTGAGAGCTCAGTGAGACATTTCACATCACTCAAAGACCAGGCTGTGTCCATGCTCCATAGAAAGGTTCATATTCGAATTGTTATGACGTGTTCATTTTCAAAATATACAGTCTGCAGGCGCTTCAGACCATCTGAAGTAGTTTGCTTCCTGATCCAGCAGAGGGCGTTGACTATCAGCTTGACCTATTGCATGCCCTCTTGACCCGTCAGTGAAATAAGCCAGTTATGTTTTGACGCCAGCAAGCAAAGCCGTCCTGATGAGACAATCACTACAGCAAAGCATCTTAGAGGTGTACACTGTAGACAGCAAAGTAACGAACTTAAGTTAGGCTGTTTGTCGACTTGCAATCCGTGGGCTCATGTGTACACCCAAGTTAGACAGCGGAGGAGGAATTGTGTATAACGTCAAATTAGTTTGATATTATAAGTGACAGCCTTCTTGGTATCAAACCAGCTCCTGTATAAATCGCTAATCAACACATGATGTCTCATTTGTTTAATCCGTACAAAATCCACAGTTCAATGAGACAAGCTGCGGCTAGCTCTTCCCCCTTGTTTCCAGTGTTTATGCTAGGCTAAACTAACCAGCTGCTAATTTCAGCTTCATATTCAGTGTACAGGCATGAGAACGATATTGATCTTCACATCCCCTGGCAAGAAAGTGACAAGAAAAAGTCTTTTAACTAGTTAATTGCAGTAATGACAGCAGGGTGCTTTACTTAAAATATATTTTGTAGATTTCTAATGGGAGATAAATTTTTTGGGATGAAGGACGTTGCAAAGGGACGTGCGAAATCTCAGGCAACAGCCTGCGTCTGTTTGGAAAAACGTTGCTGAGGAGAGCCCGGGGAATAAAAGAGGGCTGTTTTGAAAGTGCACTAGTCTTAAATAGTACACTCAGGCTCTGTGTATTCCCACACACATTTGCATAAATTTCATAGTCTAAGTCATGGACTGTGGTTGGAGCGTGTTATTGGTCTATCTTTAGGTGGTAGTACAGGCCGATCACACTGAGGGTTGTTGTTATCTCATTGAATGCACCCTGGTATTACACCCGGCGGATTGAGAGTGGGTCTTAAGATCGTGGGATTTGTTCACATATTAAAGCATGTCTGTTTGGATGCGCAGAAAAGAAACAGGTGTTCAGTGTGTGTGTGTGTGTGTGTGTGTGTGTGTGCGTGCGTGCGTGTGAGAGACTGAATTCATGTGTGTGCCTTGTTTGTTTGTTCAAAAGCATGCACACGCACAGGATGAGAACATGGCCCTTGTGTGTGTGTTTGTGAGTGTGTGTGTGTGTGACTTGACAGAGGGGTGGGGGTGCTTTATTGAAAAGTACTCCTCTCCTCCCCTGTTCAACATGCTGGATTAGCACCAACAGTTTCCCATGGAGCCGTCCCCTCCCAGCCCCCTGCCCATTTGCATAAGGCGCAGACAGGCGGAGATGTGACAAACAAACCTGGCACACACAGCGCCGGCTGCCTCCTTCACATGAACTCCCTCTCTCGCCACGACGAGGAAAAGAGACACGATACAGAGCTGGAGCAAACCCACCTGCACACACACGTTTTTTCACCACACATGACCTATTTACTGAATCCAAACTGTACAGTGTAAACAAATTTAAAGGCAGGGCCAGACTGGGGGGTGGGGTGTTGAGGCCTGTATTCCGCCTGGTGATCATAATGATTCACAAGTAAAGGAATGCAGCGGGATGAAGGAGGTGAGACAGGCTTTCAATGCTCTGTCATTTGGACAAAACTCCCCTGTATCAAAGTATCCTCCCCCTCGTTTTTTTTCCTCCTCTCTTCCTCCAAGATGGTAATGTTCACCTTAAAACATCTTTACTGTACTGTAGCTACATAACACAGCTCTCTGCGCTGCTGTCCGGACGCCAAGTTCCTATCAAGCGGCTGATTTATGGCGCTTGATGCATTCCTTGGCCCTGGTAAGGAGGCAGTTTAGCTGAAATATGAGAAGAGATGCAGAGAACACGCTCTAAGTGAGTTTCAGCTCGGCCTGCTCCATGCACTGCGAAGCTGCCTGCAAAAATTTTCGTCTGTGCAAAACCTGAGAGACGACCTGAGCGATGGCAAAATATTTCAGCAATGTGGCGTGGCATGGCCTCATCAGCATATCCTGTCGGGTGATAACAATGAAGAACTGTAACCCAGCTGTCGTGAAGCCCCCCC